CCCCGGCCTGAGTGGAACATTCCACCCCGCACCCCGTGCCTGAGCGGTACACTCCACTTGCTGCCAGTCTGTCAGGGGGACTCATTGGGGGCAGTCAGCCAGGGACACTGGTGGGTGATGGGCCCATTGTAGCCAAGGGCACTGCCCGCACAGAGCCCAGAGCTGTGGCAGTCAGCGCCCCCGGCTGCAAGATTTCCAGACCCAGAGAGCCCCTGGGGCCTGCGGTGCAGCTCCATGGGCAGCGGTGGGGCCCTGGTTCTCAGTGCACCCTGCTCATGGGCTGAAACATCTGCTCCTGCCACAACAGGCGACAGATTCTCAGGCAACACAGGCTGTTGGCCTGACCCAGCGCGGCACATCTTATGTCCTCTCCTTCCCCACTTGTCTTCTGAGGGTAGGTAGGCAGAGGTCAGGAGCACAGCACTGGGTAGCCTGGGCGCAGAGTCCCCCAGGGGTGGCTGGCTTGCATGCACGTGTAGAAGCATCTGCAGCCTCACTGATATCCATTCATAACCTGGTGCCACTGAAGTGAGGTCAACGCCTGCCTGGGACTCTTAGGTCTGTTAGGTCCCCTTTGTAAACTGTGCTGAAAGGAGTGTCCGCCTACTGCCTGGTGCTGGAAAGCAGCTTCAAACATTGCCTTTCGTCAGTGTAGCAGAACTTTGCCTTTGGTGGGCCAGGCTCTTACCTAGAACAGCTGTAATAATGGTTGGGCCCCTAAACCCAAAGGGCCATGCTTAAAATACAGGTCACAGCATGTGGAAGGCTGTTCCCTGCTGATGTAGCAGATGGTTCACCCCATTTCTCAGATATGTTGCTGGGAATTGAAATATGGGCTGGAGAAGAGAAGACTGAGAAGGGATTTAATAACAGTCTTCAGCTACCTGAAAGGAGGTTCAAAAGAGGATGTAGCTAGACTGTTCTCAGTGGTGGCAGATGACAGAACAAGGAGCAAAGGTCTCAAGCTGCAGGAAGGAAAATTTAGGTTAGATAGTAGGAAAAACTTTTTCACTAGGAGGGTGGTGAAGCACTGAAACGAGTTAGCCAGAGAGACTATAGACTTTCCATTCTTGGAGGTTTTAAAGACCTGGGTAGTCAAAGCCTTGGCTGGGATGATCTAGTTGTGAATGGTCCTGCTTTGAGCAGGGGAGTCAGGCTAAGTGACTTCCTGAGGTCCCTTCCAACCTTAATTTTCTATGATGCTATAAAGAAGAAGGAAAACACCTTTCCTGTTTTGTTGCAGGGAGCAGAATGCGAGCCAATGGCTTGAAGTTGAAGCAAAGTTAAGTTTAGATTGGATGTTAGGAAAAAATACTGTTAGAACAGTGAGGCACTGGAATAGGCTGCCCAAGGAAGTTGTGAACTTTCCATCCCTGGAGGTGTTCAAGAGGTTGGGCAAGTATTGGTAAGGGATGACCAATGCCTATGCTCTGCTATGGGTATTTCGTACATTTCTGGGCTTTCCTGGTTGCCATGTGAGGCCAGGAAGGCATGTTTTCCCTCCTGCTGCCACATTTTGTGGAGAGAGAGGGGTTGCTTTTCTTCGAAGCATTGGGCTTGGCTGTAGTCAAGGCTGGGGATTTTAACTGGAGAATGCCAGTTCTCCTGCTGGGACATAAACCTAGAGGTTTTTGGCTAAAGGGTCTTGCCCCTCTGCTCAGGATCAGACCAAATGCCATATTAGGGGTCAGAAAGGAATTTTACCCCGTGATCAGATTGATACAGACTGGGGGTTTTTGCCTTCCACTGTAGTAGGGAGTGTGGCCCTCTTCCTTGGATCTCAGGTGTATTTTAACAACTTTAGCTGTAGCAGGACATTGTCCACTGTGGTCTCCCTGCTTTACTTGTGGTAGGTTAGGGTGTTATGTTTTTGGGTTTGACTCCAGTTTCGCTCATAGATTAGACAATGGATTAGTGTAGGGTGGTTTGGAGAGGGATGATCCTGCTTCAGGCAGGGAGTTGGACTAGATGACCTCTGGAGGTCCCTTCCAGCCCTACTTCTCTATGAATCTGTGAAATGATCTGTGTAAGTCAGTGCATGTTCATGTAGCAGGTCAGTTATGTGTGAGTTGATATCTACTATCTGTCAGTAAAAAGTGGCCTCTCAGACTAGCTTGTGCTTGACTCCTGGCTCTGTAGTGGGACTTACTTGCACCTTTTGTTACTTGTTTCTAGAACTCAACCCGAGACGCTCTACATAACAAAACTCTCAAACCTTTATTGAATGCCTTCAACCAAATTCCTGGGAGGTAAGGAGCTAATATATTACTTTCAAAAGTCTCTGTTTAATTTTTATTGATGCTGAACTGTTCATCAATACAGACCATAACTTTTTTTCCATTTCTAGTGAAAGTGAAAAGAAATGTACCCTGGATCAAGCTTTCAGAGTTGTTGTAGAAGAGGAAATTGTAAGTACCTCATGTCACTGCGGCTGTCTCTTGATTAAAATTGAAAGTATACTATACATAATCCTTTATATGCAACAGCTTATCATTTGAGTAGGCCATATTGATTACAAATAAAACATAGGAACTACTAAGAAATGAGACGTGGAATAGGGCAGACATGTCAAAGATCTGGCCCATGGACTCCTAGAATTCAGTGGCAGGTCCTGCTGCCTAAAGTGGGCATCAGAGCCCTGTTGGGGATGGGTGTTAGTAGCAAAGGGACAAGGGACAGGTGCATTAATTCCTGTGACTCAGGCACCCGTTGTGGTAGTAGCCTAATAAGGCAGGGGTGACTGGGGCACCAGCCTAAGGTGCGGACCATTGGTGGTGGGAGAGAGGAGGTAGTGCACGTAAAATAGCAACAGCTGCCCTTCCAGTGCAGCCACTGACACTGGCCCATGCACTGCTGCAGCTCAGGGTGTTCACGCATCCAGTTATGCTTCTACAGGGTGGTTAACATCACTGCCTCTTGCCCCGCCCCCCCTCCCCCACTGGTGTAGGTGGTATGAATCTGGACCACTGAGTTTGACACCTCTGGGCTAGGATATATCCCTCTGGTTGTGCACATGCAATATCCCCTGGGGCAAATATAGGCACATGTCCAGTTAGTTAGCCAAGAAATGTTTCACAAGTGATTTTTTTTTTTTTTTGTGGTTACATTTTAAAATTTCTTGTAGTGGTTGTTTATAGCAATTTTAAAACCTGCTGTACTTTAAGTGTTGGTTGTAAATCTGTGCGCTGTAATAGTGAATTGGTATGCATTCTCAAGTTTTGTACAGGACCAACAGTAACTGCTAAACGGATATTTTATAAGGTAAAACAAGACTGAAAGCACTAATTTAGAACAAAGAATGCTTTGCCTCATAGTATAAACTGAAGATTTTGTTCTGCACTCTGAAAAGAAAACATAAGAAATTGGATTGTAAATTTTTTAAATGGCTTTTTAATCTTACTTTAAAAGAGTATTACTATTTTTAACATGTAACAAACAAATCACTAAAATGTTGATATTTCTATGGTGGAGCATGTGTACTGCTTAATTGCAGAAAGAAACACTATGTGGCAATTTATGAAAGGAATCAAATAACATTTGCAGTAGAAATTGTGAAGAAATGTAGATGCAATGTAATTATTCATGATAGAACATTAATACCCAAAGGCAAACAAAATTTATCCATGCAAAATACGGTGCAACATCTTTAATACGCAAAAGCAATTAAGATACAAGTTTTTACGTTGATTTTCTTGCTGAGGAATGTTACTTCTAGACAGGGTGGATATGATTTAAATCAAATAAATTGTGAGTTAAATCATGATGTAAATCTAAATCACTGCTCAGGAAGCCTTGATTTAATCATTGTTTTCTACAAAAAGTGCATTCTTATTGGTAGGTTTTCCCTTCTACCATACCATTCCCTCACTAGATCTCAAATCAGTGAAGAGGCTATACTCAGAAACTTATCCCTCGAGACTTCTGGAATATCCTTCTCAAAATGTAGACAGGGTTCTTTGGGTAAATCCAATATCATTTATTAGACCACTAAAATAATAAAAGATATCAGATTTACCCAAAGAACCTTGTCTGACTATGTCCTTAGACAAACACGGTGACAACCAACACCCCAGCTCAAAATATTTCTGTTTTTGTTTCTAAGTCCCTCCTTCCTTGCATTTATCTCCAGACTCCTCCTCCTTTCCCAGATCTACTTCATCCTCAACAATCCTCTTTTCATTTAACTTCTTGAAACTTTGAACTTTCAGAGAGAGAGGTAAGGGCTTGACTCTGTGTACACAAAGTTGCAGAGAGACAAGAGGGCTGATGGGTAGGTAATTAAGTCTGTTATCTCTCATCTTCATATACTGCTGTTAACAAGGATGTTACCTCTAGAGACAGAAATCCAGAGTTTGAGAAATGAAACTGAGCATCACAGAGATGCATAGTGAGATCTTTTAGACCAGTGGTTCTCAAATTTTTTTTTTTCCGCAGGCCGCTTGAAAATTGCTTAGGGTCTTGGCAGACCACTTAATAAACTTTTTTGTCCCTACAAATCAAAGCACACAACTCACATTTTAATATCAGTTGTCTTACTTTACAAGTACAGATATTCTCGATTGTTCCGCAACCTTTCTGCGGACCACCTGAATGGAGCTCACGGACCACAGTTTGAGAACCTCTGGTCTAGACTGAGCACTGAGTCCCATTGGGTAAAGTGGTTTTCTTCAGTCGTTACTGAGCTTTAGAGGAGCCTCTGGGAACCCCATAAGATTGGATCCCTAATATAGCCCATGGCCTGTTGTGACCTATTTATAAAACTTTTCTAAATAGGTTACATGACTATATTATCTCAAATAGTATATACTTGGAAGTTATAATCCCTATTCCATGATTATATCTTTGAGCTTTAACATATCTTAAATTAAAACTATTTTTATGTAGAATTATTTTTTTTTAAAGCTTCTTAAAAAAACAAAAAAAAATTAAATAAAAAAAATCGTTGATTTTTATCCACCCTACTTCTAGAGCACTTGAACAGATGGGGAGGTTAATGTTGATTTGTACTTCTAACAAGGTTTGAATTTTTGTAGTAAGACTTTCTTGTTTACTAAATATAATGAAAATATATTGACATTTGGATTTGATATAGTAAACAAAGTTCCACTGTCGTTTGTCTAGATAAACAAGGCTGTATGTGAAAATCTCTTGGCCATCATTTCTCTTTCTATCAATGGAGTCACAGAAGGTGAGCAGTATCTCAGAGCAGGTTGTTGTATAATTTGATTTGTATTACCATGTTGTTGTCTTCCTCAAATATCTACAACATTCAGCTCCTCAAGTGCCTGACTTGGGTCAAAGAGTTGGATGAACTTTGTATAGGTGAGGAGGGAAGTGTAACTGCTGTTCTGATAACAAGGAAGCTTTTGCATGGAGCAGCTAATTGTGTTCTTTAAATTTGTAGCTTCTATATATTTGGGGGGGGGGGGGTTCAAGATACAGTGGGAGTCTGAATTCATTTCAGTGTTTCTCTCCTTAATAATAGCAACAGTTAATTTATGACATTTTTCATGCCTGGATTTCTAAGCATTTTACACAGATGCATGTCATTATTTTTATTTTATAGATGAGAAAAATGAGATAGTTTAAGTAACTTCCCTGAGGTCACATAAAGAGTCTTGTGCAGAGCCAGGCATAAAATCCAGTCTCCTGACTATCTGTGTTGGTCAGCCAATAGCAGTGCAGTGACTGACCTGCTAGAAAACAGTTGGCTTTCATAACATTTGAGCCTCTGCCATTGAGGATGTCTTGGAATTTATAAATGTGACTCAAGAGCTGATTTATATGGCACTATTTGAAAAACGATCAATTTGAATTGGAGAAGAAGCACGTCACTTAAGTATAGTGTTGTTAAATATTGGCATTGCCAATTTGTTTACTAGTAGGTGAGGGGATTCTTATGCCCATCTGGGTAATCTTGTAGGATGATGGACCCCACAATTTTTCCTTTTGTCCTCTATAGAAAGCTGGCCAATATATGTAGTTCTAAGTAAATCATGTTTTTAAAAAAATCCCAACCTCAATCATTTTTGGGGCCTGCTGAGCTTTGATAACTTACTGTTTCTCATTATGGGTACTTCTGTACTGCCCGTTTGATAAGTATTGTGCATGCTTACATTGTAGATTTTTTTTTAAACTCTTCTTGGGTGATGCATGGAAGTTGGATGGGTAGTACAATTAAGTTATGTAATTCTGATTATATTCGCCACTCCTTAAAGGTATATGCACAGCTTCAACTCCTTTTGTGCTCCTGGGAGATGTTCTGGATTGCCTTCCTTTGGATCAGTGTGACAAAATCTTCACTTTTGTGGAGAAAAATGTTACCACATGGAAGTCAGTAAGTATTTTCTCCAAGGTGCCTCATGCCAAAGATTGTAGTTGTAGAGGGGATTTACCAAAATAATGGGCCTTTGTCCTTTTGTTAAAATAGTGATACCATATTTCAGTCCTTGCACAGGGGCTGAGCCAAAGGGGTGGGGAGAAAGGAGGAGCGGCAGGGCAGGTACAAGCCTGCACTTACTTTCACAACACTGGGCAGTGAGGTGGAGGAAGGAGGAGAACTGGCTAGGTAGAAATTCCCTGTGGCCTCCTTCAAAGGCTCTCAGGGCACCCTGGTCAGAAATTGCTGGTCTAGTGTCTGAACAGGGCTTGCTTCTTTCATTTGTTTTCAACCAATTAATTTGTCTTTTTACTACCAGATTTTCAAAGGCAGCTGATGCTGTTCCTAATTGTAAGCACTTTCCTTAACTTTACATGCATGCAGAAAACATGCACAGGAGAAAAATAAAAATTGGGTGCTTAGAAATAATTTTTTTCCTTTCTTTTTGTGGTGCCTGTTTTTTAAATAAGTGAAATTCAATTTAGAGCAGTAGTTCTCGACCAGGGTGCTGCAAGATGTTTTTAAGGGTGCTGCAGGCGTGCCATGCAGTATGGTTAGGTATGCAGGCACTCATGAATCACAAGGTAAACTCAGAGATTTCAAATCCAAAGTGTCAGAAACATTTTGACCTGTTATGGTTTGAGTTCTTTGCAATGGAAGGTTTGCTCTAGTATTTTTTATAGTCAAAAAAGTAAGTGAAAGCTAAGAGCTGGCATTTTTGGAGGTGTGCCTTGGGTCTGAAAAGGTTGAGAACTACTGATTTATAGGGTTAACAAGGGGAAAGAGCCAGGCGAAATTATTATTTGTATAATTTGTAGTATGGTCTCCTCATGATAGTAGTGTGTTTGTTCTGTTTCAGAGTACATTTTATTCAGCTGGAAAGAATTACTTGCTACGAATGTGCAATGGTGAGTATGGGTTCTCCACCGAGACAGAGAGTGAGCAAAAAAGCTACAACACAGGTAATCAAAACTAGAGTCTAATGCAGCAGGACATTATAATGTGTTCAGGAATAAAGTAAAGTATTGAATCATGTTAAAAATACTGTAATAAGTTGCTAGTTGTTTTACTGAATAAAATACATTTATTTATGAACAAAACATCATAATTTCAATAAGTAGGATGATTTGGATCTCAGTTAAACTGCTTATCTAATCTGAGGTCAGTTCTCAACTGAGGTCATAGTTCTCAACTGTGATTACTTATTTGGTGCCTAACTTCAGTAATCCACACCTGAAGAATCTGGCCTTAGAGTTAATAGACATTTGTGTGCCTTGCTGCTTAATCTGAATTTTAATTGGATAAATGGAAATTTTCCTATAATTTTCAGGGACGAGGGGTATACTAGAAAGATGTTGAGGTCTTAAATATTTCTCAGAAATGTTGCTAGGGACTGTATTAGAAACAATGGCTGGATAGGATTTTCTTGTACTGGTCTAGTAGAACACACAGAAATGTACTGATAGTCTGAAGGAAGAAAGATCATTTAAGTGAGCAACATTTGAACTTTCAGTTATTTCAACATGTCGCATTAAAAGGGATGCAGGCCTGACCCTTTTGGCCTCCATAAAATTGTGCTAGTGCAAAGTGGGTGAGAAGCAGGATAGTTATAGTCCACATGATAGCAGCATAAATCATCTTTAATGTTCTCTCATTTTTTACATTACAAGATCTTCTAAGAAGATTATCCAAATCACAGAACACAGTCTTCTGTGGAAGAATACAGCTGTTCCTGGCTAGGTTGTTTCCTCTTTCAGAGAAGTCAGGTGAGATTTTGTGTATTTCTTCAAGTGAGAAGAATAAGAATTGAGAGAGATTAAATATACTTCAGTCTCTCATAAACGTGTTTTAGACTAAATCCAGTTTAACCAAAAGTGTGTTTCTAGCTCTACCCTAATTGATATGCATCAAATATAGAAGTTATAAATGGGTTTTATTTGTTATAAATTAAACTAGAAAGTGTTACTTACTGGATGTAGGCAATAATTACTCACTGGTTGTAGGTAATAATCACTATCTGGCTTCATAAAGTTCTTAATATTGGAAAATGAGCTACATTTTCTTTAAAAAATGTCTTTTTTTCCTAATAGGGCTTAATTTACAAAGTCAGTTTAATCTGGAGAATGTCACAGTTTTCAATACCAATGAACAGGAGAGCACTCTGGGACAGAAAGTAAGAATGGCTCCGTTTCTTTTGACTATTTTTATGGGAAACAGTTTTATAAACCTAGAGGAGTTGTTTGCACAAAACCCCCCCACTACCACACTTAAAATATTCAAAGTTCAGGGTACAGCTCATCCATAAAGCAGCTCTCTGGTCTGAGAATTGGCTTGTTTTTCCGCTGTATTACTGTCTTCCACTACAGCTAGGCTGAGATGTGAGATTTTTTTTTAAATAAATGTCTCAAATCCCAAATGAGTTCTCATCACCATCTCTTTACTCCTAACAAGATTTTCCTTGTTTGTAGTGAAACTGGCTAGTACCAGCGAGCAACTGTGCTCTTACTTACATTTGTAAAGCCAGTCTGCCCATGCAGTTCATTGTAGGATCAAAGCCATGAATATCTGTATGTCTTCCTATTGCTATGCAGATGCAGTGTAGTTTGTGAGAGAGAATCAGCAGTGCAGGATGCAGTAATTTAGACAGATTTTCTTGTGTCAGTGTCCTAAACTTGCTGATGTAAGATGCAAGTATTACTTAAAAGACAAGTTACAGATGCCATGTTTCTTACAGAAGTAAAGAATCCAAAGCCATACTTTGGTGAATTATTTTCGTCAGTATCCTTTTGTGGCTCTTACCTGCACATCTCTATCTGCACACTGGCACTCCTATATATGGTGTGCTAGATAAGCTAACTTTGTCAGAGCAGCCAGGATCTGGAACCAGCTTCAAAGAGAAGTGGTGCTGGCTCCTACCTTAGGGGTTTGTAAAAGGAGGCTTGATAACTATCTAGCTGGAGTCATATGATCTTAAAATTACTAGGGATCATATGAGCCCAGTAGTCATTCCTGCCCAGGTCAGGGGGTCAGACTTGATGATCTGCTCAGGTCCCCTCCAACCCTACATTTATGAATCTATGAATTGAAGAAAATATAAATAAGTTTTCAGAGCATATGTTGGGCTAAATACTCCCCAGGGATTTATATGCAGAAAAACTCAACATTATGCTAAATTAATTATTATTTTACAAATTAAACTAGGTATAACACTATTTGAACTTAAAAATATATATATATGCAGGTACTTTGTGTGGTTGGGGGGGGAGGGAATGTGTGTGTCTGGTTGGGGGGGGTTGTGTGTGGGGAGTTTGTGGATGGGTGTGGGGTGTGTGGTGGGAGCTACCACACATCCCCCCCCCATGGTGCACAGTCTCCGCTGCTGACAACTCAGTAGCAGCAGGTGGTGGACTCTGGGGTGATCCTGGCCACGGCAGGCAGAGCCCCCGGGTGCACACGCCTCTGAGTCCCAGGGCCTGCACATTCTGGCACAGAGTCAGCCTGACCTGGCATGCACATTCAGATCAGACTGGACTGGCTCTGTGCCAGCATGTGGGGCTCGTGGCACTGCAGGTGGGAGCTGTGCACCATCAGGCTGGGTGGGTTCCATGCCTCCATGTGCGGCTTCCCACTGGAGTACTGGAAACCCTACATAGAAGCACAGAGCCAGCTGGCCTGGTTCAGTGGCTTGTGGACTGGGAGCCACGTGCCATTGGGCTGGGTGAGCTCCATGCCTCCACGTGAGGCTTCCAGCACTCCAGCAGAAAGCTGCGTGTGGAGACAAGCAGGGGCTGGCCCAGCCCAATGGAGCGCGACTCTGTCCCTTGGGTCTGTCCCTTGC